CTGTCTGACTCGGTGCTGCCATGCCACGGCTAAGCACTCCAACTCCGTGCTGTATGTCAGCCCTGTGGCTTGGCAGTTGTAGTACCTATTAGTACCTTCTCCAAGCTCATCATCCTGTGCGCGCTGGGTCCTGCTGCGTTCAGGAACTCGTCGTCGTCCTGCTTAGCCTCGTTCTTCTCCGGGACTACTGATGGTTTTGCTGTCTGCAGCCCGAGCTCCAGTAGCACGTCCTCGATCAGTAACGTCTTACCCTTGATGGTATAACCGCCCTCGATCTTGCGGACCTGCATGCTCAGGAAGGTGCCCTCGTCGCCTGCGTTGTACAGCCTAACCACGTTCGAGAGCCTAAGCATCTCGCCCATTTCCGCCAGTAGTTGGTCTACTGACTCCTGGGGCCTTGCCACGAGGAAGTCACCAGCGTGTCGTCCTGCCTTGACCTGGTCTTGGGTCCTCATGACGTGATTTTGGAATTGCATGTGTTGCAGTGCATTACTATTCTTATGCAGGGAGGGACCGCTCCCCAACAACTGTCGCCGAGGTACTCCTTCGTGGCGCTCTTCGACAAGCGCGTCCGGCTCTACCCCCTTTGGATCCTCATGAAGATGCAGTCGTCGTAGCACCCTCGCTCAAGACCCATCTGCTCCATCGTCATTGTGCCGTTATCCTCCCATGCCTTGGGTGCCCCTTTGTGTCCTGGGAGCGCGCACAGCGCTTCCCACACGTACCCTGCTGGTATTCTTGCCTCGGGTAGTGGTTCCAAGATCCTGTCCTCCGTCAGCGGCGCCTGGTAGAACGCCCCTCGCCCTCCTCTCCTGCCTGATCGCAATTGAAGCTGATCGGTGGAATGCTGGTGTCCCTTGTGTGCCACGTCATTGGCCTTCACCTGCGCGCAGACCTTGCACCAGGGCTTCTGCCGGTAGAGCTTTAGTCCGTGCCCCTCAGGCATTGCCAATCACCTCCGCGCTCGGCTCACGCGGTCCTACATTGCCCTGCGCTCCCACCTCGGGTTCCCGGTGGATGCGATCGTCGCGGGTCGCCGCTGGCCCTTTCCATCGGCCAACACATCCGCTGCTGGCCGTGCTTCCGCTGCCTGAGCTAGTGGTCCTCCTGCCGCTGGTTGGGGCCCCAGTGCCTGAGCTGGTGGCCCGCTTGCCAGCGTTCGCTCTGCCGCATGGCCGTCATCCTCCTCTCTTCGTCGTGTTGCAGCTGCTGCCCTTTTTGGTGCCACGGTCGTGTCTTTCACCATCGAGCAGTCCTGGGCGTGCCCGTTCCTAACCCAGCACTCGAGTGCGAAGCGGTTGTTGGCCTTCTTCGCCTTGACGAGTCTTGCCGCCTCATGTCGCAGTACGCCCCCTCGTCCCTCGTACCACGCCATTCGGTGACCGTGCCTCATGCAGAACTTGCCGACGCTCATGATGGGTTGCTTCACGTCCGTCACCTAGAACTCTAGGACGATCTTGCGGTGGCTTGCGATGTAGAGAACCACCGCCTTCTGGCCGTAGTGCTTCAGCGGGGTGCCGTCGGCCACCGCCAAGTTCGGGTTCCCGCTTGGTGTTCTGAGCACCCATGGGAAATCGTGCTGACCGCACGCGTGCTCGTCCGCGAGGTTGTCGGTCAGCATTAGCATGCTGGTACACTCGCTCTCGGTCCTTTCGTTGTTGATCATGAACCTCTCCGTCGCCACGAAGACGTAGCCTGGCTCCAGATCGGACTCGGCTGGTGTCGCCTGCCTGTGGGGTCCAGGTGCCCCGATGTGGCTGGCTGAGGGCCTTACGGTTGATGCTGCCGCAGTGCCGGGTGAAGAGCCCACCAGCGACCAAGCATACATTTGCGTGGCGAGATCGTTGACCGAACCGCCTTGGCTCGTCCGTTCCCTACCTTTGCTTCTGGGGTCCCCACGACCACGTCCTTGTCGTCCGCCTGGGCTGGACGCCAGCAGTCCCTTGCGTAATGGCTCCCACGCCCGCAGTTGAAGCACTCGGTTTTGGTGTCCGTCTGGTTCGTCTTCCCACCTGTCTTTCCTCCTTGTCTTTCCGCTTCTGCATCCGTCGCTCAACCGTCGCCCTTGCCACCGTGGCCCTTGCCTCTGCCCAGGGCGTAGGCCTTAGTAAGCGCGTCGACATCCATGGAATTGTGGTCCCCTTGGAGGTCTAGGTGGTGGGGGTGGGTACCTCTGGTACTCGTCGTCGTAGATCGTCGCCACTTGCAGGTACTGGATAGTGGTCGCCACGTGCTTGTCGTAGGTCCGCTCGCTTGCCATCTGGAGCATCGTCCTGATGTTATAGGGCGCCTTCTTGAGGTAGATGCTCTTCTTCTCGCCCACGTTGAAATCTTCGCCTGAAGCCCTCTCATACCGTGTGGCGTCGCGTTCCCACTCCGCGCGGGCTTCTTCGAATTCCGCTATGGTATGTGGGAACCGTTTGACGTTCAGGATGCTTGTCATGATACTCTGGGTCTGAACCGCCGTAGCTGATTCGTACATCCTGCCCTGCGCCCTCCAAGCTGCTGCACCTTTCTGTTGTTCAACTCCTCGTATGATCATCTGGGCAGTTCCATTCACGGTCATGACCAAACTGAAGAACACGGTATGGTTTGCCGCGGTAACCCTTGTCATCCAGCGAGTTCTGGATCTTCTGTGCCCAGATGCCAGGCTCGTTCCTGAGATCCTCGGCCGCCTTCAGCAGGCGCTGAGATGGCTGCGTCTGCCCTCCGAGGAAGGCTCTTCATCACGAAGGACCACTGCTGCCGGTGCTCCCCGAGTCCGCCGAAGGTGGGCGGCCTGAGGCCGCCTCCCTGCTATGTCGACGCCTGCCGCCATTGCCGCGGTCTACCTGCCGGCTGCTCCCCGAGCGCCCTTGGCCACTCTTTTGTACCCGAGTTTTTTTATGACAGGTTTCGCCTCGCCTCCCTATGCCGTTGTACGGTCTACTATGGATCGCCCGCGATGGCGCCGCTACGCGCGCGCGGGAGAGGCCAGCGCCGCCGGGGGGGGCAAGCTGGAGCTGGTCTCGACCAGCTCCGCTACCATGATGCATGATGCATGTCGTACCTGAGAGGTTGCGCAGAGGGTGCGTGTCAAGCTCATGTTATGCAACACGCTGGAAGCAAACTGGAACTGCCCGATGGTAGGGAGTCATGTCTCTCCCTACCCTGCTACGCCGCTGCCTTTGATTCTCTATATCATACACGCTGCATTCTATTCTTACCCTCAGCAAAGGGAAGGAGGAAGAATGGACCAGCGTAGACCCAAGACGCATCAACGATATTGCAATAACTCCAAGGTCCCTCTGCACAGGCCCCTGCAAGAATGTATTTTCACTGCTGGAAGTGCTCTGTTGGAAGACAACCACTTGAGAATCCTCAATCGTGCCAAGTCACCCCTCCTGGGACTTCAACGCCGCAAATCTACCGTACTGTGGCGTTCTGACGATCCAGTATCGTGCCAGAACACAACTCCTGGAACTTCCACACCGCGAATTGGCGTGACGGTTGCGCCTTTACATTCCTACCTCGTGTTGCAACGCCATTCTTGGGACGCCATCCGCAAGAATCCGTTGATTTGTTGTACGATGTTACGACGAACGCGCGCGGCGTTAAGGCAAGAAACCACATTTTGAACCAGAGCCGCCCTCCATCCGTGAAACTCTTGCGTGCTTTTAAGACGAATGTGCGCGGCGCTGAGGCGAGAACCACATTTTGAAAGCCACCCGCCCTCCGTCCGTGAAACCCTCGCGAGCATCTGAGACGAATGCGTGCGGCGTTGAGTCAAGCGCCACATTTTGAAAAGAAGCCGCCCTTCACCCGTGAGACTCTGACGAACTTTTGCGACGAATGCGCGCGGCGCTAAGGCGAGAACCAGATCTTGACAACGACCCGCCCTCTCCTCCGCGAAGCTCGCACATTTTTGAGACGAAAGTCCGCTGAAAACCACCCTCCCTCCATCCGTGCATCCCTTGCAAACTTTCGATACGTATGTGAGTGGCGCTTTGGCGAGAACCACATTTTGAAAAGGAGCCGCCCTCAACCCGTGAAACTCTTGCAAGCTTTTGCGACGAATGTGCGCGGCGCTAAGGCGATAACCAGATTCTGAGAATGAGCCGCTTTCTATCTGTGAAACTTCTGCAAACTTTAAGACGAATGTGTTCGGAACTGAGGCGAGAGCCACATCTTGAAAATCACTCGCCCTCCATCCATGAAACCCTTGCAAACTTGCAAGTCGAATGTGGGCGGCGCTAAGGGGAGAGCCACATCTTGAAAACCACCCGTCCTCTAACCGCGAAGCTCTCGCAAACTTTCAAGACGAATGTGCGCGGCGCTAAGGCGAGATCTACATTTGCAAAAAAAACACCCGGCATCCGTCCGGGATGCTGTTGCACATGTGATCTTAATTATCGCAAGTGGTGAGGAAGTTTCACGCGAAGCGCCCGGCCCGCCTACGGACACGTTTCGGGGTGCAGCAGGGAGGAGTTACTTATGAGGAAAAGGAATGGAGGACGAGGACGCGTGCGATGAGTCGGGGCAGGGGGGGACCGCTGAGCAAACTTGCAGCCCTTCGCGCTGACCCGGAGAGGAGCTGTGGAAGTGGTGCCCCGTAGCCGAACATATGTGCTAGCTACCATGGCAATTTGTTCAGCCCTACCGAGACGATGTGGATTGGCGGTCCGAGTCATTTGGTCGGGGTCCGCAGCATCAGTAGTTGTAGTAGGGAATGCATCGATGTCCAGAAGTAGTGCGGAGTTCGAGTCTCCAGCGTGAGAAGCCAGAGGACCCTGAAGGCCAGACCAGGGCCGCTCACCCAGTGGGGGCTTCCCCGCTCCCGGAGGCCGCAGCGGCAGAAGAGCAAAGCGGCCAGCCGACCAAGCTGCTGGTGCCCAGGTGGATGCAACCTCAAGGCGGGGCAGAAGACGGCGGCATTGAAGACGCGAAGGGGGGCGAGGAGGACAGGCCGATTGAGCGTTCGGAGGGCATGCCAGACGACGAGGAGGACCTGCTGGTGTCGGATGCCCTTCCGCCAGAGGATCGTCCCGGTGCTCGTCTCTTGTGGGCAGTGGGCACGGTCGATGTCGAGCGCAATCAGCATGTTTGTATCAGCTAGAAAGTCCACTTCCCCGCGTGTCCTGCCCGCCTCCCCCAGACCTCTTGGAAGCCTTTGCTGAGTGTGCCGCACGCCTCGCGAACGTCCTGGTAGCCCCTGCTGGGCCTTTCAAACAGGCCCATCACACCCCAAAAGGGCGCCCAGATTTGGGGAAGACCTTGTGGCCGGTGCCGGCGACCCTGAAGGGGGACCACGACGACGGCGACGGCGACGGCGACATTGACGGCGACTCGCCTCCCCCAGACCTCCTGGAAGTTTGTGCTGAGCGTGCCGCAAGCCTCGCGAACGTCCTGGTAGCCCCTGCTGGGCCTCTCAGGCAGGCCCATGACGGCCCGAGAGGGCGCCCAGATATTGGGAAGGCCTTACGGCCGGTGCCGCCGACCCTGAAGGGGGACGACGATGATGGCGATCGATGGCGACGGCGACGGCGACGACAATGACGACGACCATGACGACGACGGCCACGACAACAACACGAGCTGATGACCCTGTCACTGGCTCGGGACATGGGGCGGGCAGTGGAAAAGGATTGGAGGAGAGGGAGGAGGAGGAGGAGGAGGAGGAATATTAATAATAAAAATTATCCCAGTGCGACCCTACCTAGGAGTTGGAGCCTCTAGGAAAGGAGCATTAGCAGCAGCAATAGTGGATGTTGTGCTGCGCTATGCTATGCTATGCTATGCTATGCTATGCTGCGCAATGCTATGCTGGGCTAGGCTAGGCTAGGGTATGTTATGCTATGCTATGCTGCGCTGTGCTATGCTGAGCTATGCTATGCTATGCTATGCTATGTTGCGTCATGCTATGATATGCTGAGCTAAGCTATGCTATGCTATGCTATGCTGTGCTACTGCTGCGCTGCGCTATGCTGCGCTAAGCTAAGTTCAGGTAAGTTAAGCTATGCTAAGCTAAGTTAAGCTAGGCTAGGCTAGGCTAAGCTAAGCTAAGCCAAGCCAAGCTAAGCAAAGCTAATCAAAGATGAGATAAGCTAAGCTAAGTCAAGCTAGGTTAGGCAAAGCTTTAGCTATGCTAAGCTAAGATGAGATAAGCTAAGCTTAGCTAAGCTAAGCTGGATGAACCCAGGGGGCGCAACTGGGGGAACCGCGGGGCGGATCCTGGGGGAACCGCCCGGGGTGGGGCTCATTGCCCGCCCCTTTAAGCCAACAGGGTAAGAAACCTTCTAGGCAGAGCCTAGGTAGGGAATAATAATAGTAGTAGTAATAATTATAGTACCAAACATACGAATAAAAAATGCGTAGTAATAAACAACATACTGCTACTGAAATTAGTATCCATACGAATACGAATGCAAATTATAAGAGCACTAATAATAATCATCATGATGATATTTGTCGTACTAGCACTAATGGGAAGCAACACTACTACTGATACAAATACTTCGAATCGTAATGCGACTGGCAATATCTGTTTTTTCCCCCCCCAAAAAAAAACATGAATAATCACAGCAATACGACTCGTATTCTTAATAGTATTAGTAATACCAAAATTACAAGTAGTAGCAATAATGACGACACTGAGAATAATAATACTACGAATGGGAATCGTATTATTGACAATATTGCGAATCATACGAATCAGCCGAATGCGAGGATGATGCGGAGGAGCAGGAGCAGGAAAAATGAAACAACTCAGAGAAAGAGAAGGATCACGAGAGAGAGAGAGAGAATGAGAGGACAGAGGAGGAGAAGGAGGAGGAGGAAGAGGAGGAAGGAGGAGGAGGAGGTGGAGGAGGAGAAGGAGAAGGAGAAGGAGAAGGAGAAGGAGAAGGAGAAGGAGGTGAGCGCTCTGTCTCCTCGAGGGCGTAGAAGGGCTGGGGCCCGGGCCGGAGCCAGGGCCCGGGCCGAGGCCGGGGCCGAGGCCAGGGCCAGTGCCGGGGTTGGGCCTGGGCCCGGGGGCCGGTGCTCGGCCCGGGGTCCGGGCCAGGACGAGAGGAGGGATCTGCATGCAGCTCCACGGCTGACAGAGGGACCACCCTCCTGTCCTCATTCTCCATGGGGGAGGCCGCCCGGGGGGACCCCCCGGACAGCCCCCCGGGACCACTGCCAGGACCCCCTCCGGGACCCTCCCTGCAGGGCTCCCCCCCGCCCCAGGACCCCCCAGGGAAGACAAAGAGAAGGAGTTGCTTTTCAACATAATTGCGACCACGATTCAAAGGAGGTTGGCGTACTTTAGTTTGGGTTGGGCTGGCCTCGCGTCGAAGAGCCTCTCACACACGCCGACTGGGTCGGCGGATGTCCCTCCCCAGGGCGAAAAAAGTTCACGTGAGGCCGCCAGGTCAGCCCAAGAGGCGCCCAAGACGACCCAAGAGGCCTCTGGAGGCGCACAGGATGCCCCAAGTGGCCCCAGGAGAGGCCCCAGCCAGCCGAAATCACACCGAAGCAAGCGGCTTCCGTAGGTATTCGGCCCAAGATGTCAGCAGCGTTTCTAAAGGTTCCAAGTGGCCCGAGATTTGCTAACCACTGACAACGCTGCAAAAGAGCCCCCAGGGGCCCCAAGATGGCCAAAGATCGCTCCCCAAGGTCTCAGGCCACCAGGGATGCCTCTGGCCCAAGGCCACCGAGGAGGCCATCGAGGCTGCGATCTGTCAGTTCGCGTTCCCCCTTTCGGGCCCCTCTTGGGGCCGTCTTGGGGCCCTCTTGATCGATCTTGGGTCTTGGGCGCTTCTTGGGCCGTTTTGGGGCCCTTTTGGGCAGTTTGGGGCCCTCTTGGGGGCCTCTTGGGGCGGTCTTGGGGGATTCTGGGGCCATCTTGGAGCGTCGGAAGCCCGAGAACGCGAGAACGCGAAATACATCGACAAACACAATTACAATCAATGATGTTTGCCTCTTTGTGTCCTCTTGGGAGTCTTTTTGGGGCGCTCTTGGGGCTTCTTTGGGGCCTCGTGGGCCGTCTTGGGGCCATCTTGGGCCTCTTGGAGCGCTCTTGGGCTGTCTTCGAGGCCTCTGGACCCTCTTGGGCGCTTCTTGGACCCCTCTGGGCCCGTCTTGGGGCCCCTTTGGAAAAGTCACACGACGCAGCCCAGGAGTGCGCGGGAACGCCCAGGAAGTTTGAGAGTTTGGGACCCCAGCCCTCAGAATCATATAAGCCCGGAGTCCTGAGTGCAGAGAGCAGAGAACACATGCAAGCTTGGGGGTAATTCCAGTTCGTGCCTCGAGGCACTGTGGCAGATTCTTTTGTGGCGACCTTGCAAACAAGGATTTTGTGTGTGTGCGTGTGTGTGTGTGTGTGGATCTGCAGTGGCCTCCGCAAAATTATGTTGTAGCGGCCTGTGCAAACGGATTTCTATTGTGGTGGTCATTCAGAAAGATTTCAAACGCGAGGGATCTGCAGCGGCAGCGCCTTGAGCCCGAGAAAACTAGAGCCTTAGAAAGCTAGAGAGGGAAACTGTAAACACAAAGAATTACAAAAACAGTTTCCACAGTGAACACGCAAAACAGCTAGGAAAACCTTTGGCTCTGGCTCATGGCGCAGATGCCCCACAACTTCAGCCTGCTTACAGTAGCACTTACACATATTCCTTGTGTGGCGATCCCCCACAAGGATTCCAAGTATGATGCTTCCGCAGTGGCCGCCGCAGTTGAAACCTTTCTCGTAGCAATCTTTACGCAAGGATTATTGCTGTGGCGATCTGGTAGATTTAAAGTGTGGGGCATCTGCAGTGGTTGGCCTCCAACATTGAAATCCTTGTGTAGCAGCTTGTACGAAGGGATCATTGTGTGGCGGTCCTACAGAAGTAATTATTTTGTGCAGGCTGCTACAAAAGGATCTTAAGTGTGGAGGCAACTGCACCCCCCCGCTAGTTAACATCATTTTCGTAAAACCGCCACACGAGGAATCCATGTTTCAAGGGTTGCTACACGATAGTGTCTCAAGTGTGGGGAATATGTGTTCTAAAAAGCAGGAGTAGCAGGTTGTCTTAAGAGTTCTTTACTCTCTTCATATAGAGCACATGCTTTTCGATGTGTTTAATGTCTTTCATTGTGTTCCAGGTATGCTTCCGCGGCCCCACGGAGATCTCAGTGGCGGTTTGGTGGGGCTTCGGAAATTTTAGAACCATGAATAATTATAAAATGTTGTAAGTTCACTGGGGGAAGTAGCAACATGCTAGGACAACCTCTGGCTGGCGCTACTCGTATTGATTGCAGATCCCGACTCTTGAAACCTTGTAACACGATCGCCACAGAAGGAACTATGTTGTAAAGGCTGCTGCAAAAGGGTACCAATTGTGGCGGCCAGAGCAGATGCCCCACAATTAAAGTGGTCGCCACAAGGAATCCTCTTGTGAGGGCTACTACAAAGGGATTCCAAGTGTGGGGGGATCTGCACCATCAACATAGCGAGAGTCACATGTTGTTCTAGCTTTTTCAGGTGCGTCCATGTGAAAGCACACTTGCTTATATGTGCTTGGTGCTTTTTGTGTTCCTGGTAAGTTTCCGAGGCCCCACGGCGATCTCAGTGGCGGCTCCGTGGGGCCGCGGATGCTTACCACGAATTTGTTCTAACAATAAAATTCGGAGAAGCTAGGAACACCTGTGACAGTCGCTATTCAAATTGCTTGCAGATGCCCACGCTTCAATCCTTTTTTTAAGTGTGGCGACCAGTGCAGATGCCCCATACCGAAAATCCTTTTGGGAGGTCGCCACAAAGGGAATCCTCTTGTCAGAGCTATTACAAGTGGATTTCAAGTGTTGGGGATCTGCGCCATACATACAGCGAAAGTCACAGGTTGATCTGACTTCTTCAAATTTGTCCATGTGGAAACACCGGTTTTGTATTGCTTGTCATGTTTCTCTTGTTCTCCTGGTAAGCTTCCGCGACCCAAGGGCGCTGCCTCCAAGCTGATTCTGATTGTGGAGGATACGGTTGAGGTGCAAACTTAAGCAGTATTCCTTCCCCACAATTCAAAGTTGGCACGCTTACGCATCTTTGGTCCGATACTCACATTCGGCAGATCCGATCCCACCATCGCATTCGGGGGGAAGGGGGGGGAGTGCAAACCATAAGTTAAGCGTGAATCCGGGGGCCCTTCAAGGCCCCCCCCCGGGGTGGCACAGCAGCTGTTCGTTGGGTATCGCTTCCTCCTTTCTGTCGTTCTTGTTCCGTCTCTCCCCTCCTGGTCACCTGGTCATTTTCCTTCCCAAGCGCTGCGGATGGCTGTCCGGGCCGAGGAGACGTTGGCAAGGGAACGCCAGAAGGAGTTGCTGCAGGAGTTGGCAGCACAGAACATGTGCTTTGACCAGACGTCCATGGCGGCACTCAAGCAAATGCCCTGCTCAGAGGGAGTGAAGTTGCTCGAGGAGGCCGTGGGCAAAGACAGGCTGTCGAACCCGTCGGCTTGGCTCACCAAGGCCGCGCGCAACTTCATGATAGCCTTCAGACAGACGAAGGCAGGTATGCTCAACGTACCCATTCTTTCTTCGACAACCCCCTGCTGAATTTGCCTCGATATGTGCACTATGCTCAGAGGTCTCAGAGTGTTATCGACGCGAATTTGTTCAGGAGATGGCTTGGAGTCGAAGAATGAGTGCGTTTGGGACATCGAACTTATGAATTTAGATTGCTTCCAGCGAGCAAAAATTGAGACCAGCAGTATTCTTTTACATGGCAGCAGGAAGCAAGAATTCTTGACATTTCGCCAATCCTCACCAGCCTATTCCAAGACGATGTCCAGGCGAGTGGCTGGGAGAAGGTACATATACTGGACTCTAAATGGTTGACTCTTGCACGATCGATGTGCAATATTTAAGGTGCAATCTCTGCGTGGTGCAACCTATGTTTTACATTTTAGATGGTGCAAACTACCCAGCTGTCTGCGGCAACCCCCGCCACCGTGCCTGTGCAACGGCGCAACCGGAAGGAGGCTGAGTGCAGAACCAGCGCAATTTTGACGAGTGGTCAGAAATTTGCCGGGTCGTGAACTAGACCTCGTCTTCGTCCGCGCGGTAATGAGGGTGAGGTGTCGAGTTCACGTCCGCTGCAGTTCAGCGAGCGGTCTGAATTGAGGTGGGTCGGGAACTCGACCTTATCTTCGTCCGTGCTGTGGAGAGGAGGAGGATTATGAGGAGGAAGACAAGCGTAAACCCAAGATGCATCAACGATGTTGCAATAAGCCCTCTCTGCAGGGTCCCTCTTCAGAGGTCCCTGCAATACATTATTTTCATTGTGGGAAGTGCTCCATTGAAAGACAACTGTTTCATAATCCTCAATCGTGCCAGAACGTATCCCCTGGGTTTGCGACGCCGCGAATCACAGTGACCAACAAGTGTGGCCAGACAGCTTTGGCTCAGGCTTGCCAGCGGAAGCTGGATGAGCTGGACAAGGGCCCTCCCCCTGAGCCGCCATTGGAGTCTCGCCTTTCAAAGGCTCGCTGGGCTCTCACTCATCAGGACGCTAAGCTCAAAAAGGCCATGGACAAGTATCACAAGTGGCAGCAGGATTTGGAGCAGCACTGGGCTCACGTGGAGGAGCTTAAGTCCCACCTGGATGAACTCCAGGCGGAGTACGACAAGCTCGCCGCCTCTGTTCGCCCTACTGCGACGGCACCCGACCCCAAGCCCATGTTGTCTCTCTCCGCTTTTTTGGAGGACAAGCTCGACGGTTTCGTCATTGATTTCGGAGATGTCTTCGCCTTGGGCGGCGAGGAGGGTCTGGGGGAGGATGAACTCCGCCAGGCCGAGGACGGCCGCGAGGCTCTCGTCAAGGGCCTCCAGGACGGCGCGAAGAAGCTTTTCGCTGATGCTGCTGCCAAGGCAAAGCAAGCTCGGGCGGCTCACCAGCAACAGATGTAACGTCTTGCTGCTAAACGCCGTCGGGCAGATGATGGGTCGACTGCCACCCCACCAGGAGCTGACGTTGAGGCACAGGCCGCTCGTGGCTCACAAGACGCTGCTGATTCAGGCCCCTCAGCGGCTGCGACTCCTTCTGCCGCCGCAGCCTTCGAGCAGGAGAAGGCCCGCAGGCAGCAGCAGCAGAAGTCAAGCTCCTGACGGCTTAGTCAGGCTACCCATTCGCAGACGACGACCTGGTGCTGGTGGGCAATCCACTGTGACTTACGATGGTAAGCAGCATCCAGACTACTTCCCAGAGGTGTTCAAGTCCTCTGACAAGTCTTCTCTTTCTATTCCAGTGGTTGGGCCCCTCTGCCAAGGGCCTCATTGACCAGCGCCAATATGATGCCATCCTCTTGGTGGAGACGCATGCTGGCCCAGAACATTCAGATGACCTCTTGCGGCACTGGAGCAAGAACGGCTACAAAGCGGTTTGTACCCCAGCTCTGCCCACGGACAGAACAGCTCTTTCAGGAGGTGCAGTGCTTGGGTTCAAGAACACGTTCATGACTTCCTCATTCAGGCACCTGGCCCTGAATCAGGCCCAGCAGGTTGGCATGCGAGACCTCTCATCCACCAAGGGAAACATCGATTTCTTTGACTTTGTCCCTGTGGTCTGGCACATCCATGGGGTCTCTCTTTGTCTGGTCTCGGCATATTTGACTTCCAGCATAGGCCTGAAAGGGGTTAACCTGCAGAAGCTGGCCATTCTCGGGGGTTTCATCAAAAGTCTGGACATCCCGTGGGCCAGTTTCGCTGATTGGAACGTTCCTCCCTCTACTCTCATGCAGTCGGGCTGGCCCGCGATGCTGGGAGGCGTCCCCGTCGTTCCCACGGACGTGGACTACACTTGCACTATTGGGTCAGGCGCTATGTTGGACTATGGCATTGTCTCTCCCCACGCTCGGCTGCTTATTTCCAGCTTGACCGCTGACACGTCTGTGGTGGTGGCCCGCAACTCTGTTGCTGGCAAAGCCCACTTCGGCCTCAAGATTGACATTCGAGCGCGCGCGGCACTAGCTCAAGCCCTTGTGGATTCGCTCCCGCAGCCTTTCACGCATCAGCCGCTGCCTTCCAAGTCTGCCGATCCTCGCAGTAAGCGTTCCAGGAGAACCGCAGCTGGGACCAGAGTTTCGCAGAGGAGTGCTGCCGTGGAGGTTGAGCTGCCTACCAGAGCCGCTCTCCCTGGACTACCACCTCCGAGATTGACGTTTGCTGACCTGGAGGAAGAGTCCTCCGCCAATGAGTACGATGAGGACCTCCCCCCCCCACGATTCAGCTGGTTTCGATGGAGGAGCCGCTCGAGGTCCCGATGGCAGACGGTGAAGGATCCACCCTTCCCCAGGAGACCTTGGAGGAACCCTCTCTCCAGGATGGCTTCGACCAGGCTCCAAGGCGCCCTCGAGACGAGCTTTGGAATGAAATCTTCTGTTCGAGAGACTTGGTTTCTGGTCAGCCTGCGGATTTCATCTCCAGATCTCTGGCTTTCGAAGCTTCGTCTTCCGATGCGCTCCATATGGGGCAGCAGTACGGGCGCTGGGTCTCGGCTCTGGAACAGTTCTTTATTCGGACGCTCGCGATCCCACCGCATTCTGCCAGAGCATATGTGGGGCGCGCTGAGGCTCGGCGTTTCCGTGTGGCGCCCATCAAGGCCCCTAGGCAGTGCGCCGTGCAGGTGGATCCAGCGACAAAGTGGTGGGCTGTTCTTCTGGCCCTCTTCGAGGATGTGCTCAGGAAGCATGCGGATTCCTCCAAGGCCACTTTCATTCAGTCCCGCATCAAGGAGCTCGCCCTCACTTTGCCCACCTCAGCCTCGCTCCCACTCACGGCCGCCGCCCGTCGGAAGTGGACATCCACTCTTCGCCGAGATCATGAGTGCAGTTTAGATCAGCTAGAGGTTTTGAAGACCACGGTGGCCAATCATGCAGTCCGCTCTCAACGTTTCTCCGCACCAGCTTCAAGACGTGGCTTTGATTCCTGGATTTTGACTATGTCTTCCATCGCCCCAGGCAAGCTCTACGATTTCACCCGTCACCCTGTTGTCACCCTGAATGAGATGCGGGTGGTTCGGGCAACTTTGGCAACTCCTCTTGACATCATGGCATCTAAGCGGCAGTGGTGGGAGAAAGTTTGGTCCAGCCGACGTTTCGACAAGACGAAGGTCCTAATGGCGCATGAGAAGGTGCGTCATAAGGCCAAGGACACTGACCTAGAGCCGATCACTATATTTCAGGCCAGAACCATCTTGCAGAACATCTCCCCGAAGAAGGCCAAGGGTTGCGAGGCTCTCAGCATCGCTGACTTGCGACGCTTGCCCGACTCCGCCATCCAGGACTTGGTGGAGATCTACCATCAGGTGGAGCGATGTGTCTCATGGCCATGGCAGCTGCTCGCTGTTTTCATCAGCTTGCTTCCCAAGTCTGCTGACGATGGCAGGGCGATCGGTGTGGCATCACTCTTGGTCCGAATCTGGGGCGCCATCAGGAGCCCGTTGGATCGAGAATGGTGCCGACAGGCAGCTGACCACTGAGATGGGGTCATCGTTGGGTCGTCATCTCTTCGCGCTGTCTTGCTTCGTAACTTCGGCGACGAGGCAGTCAGGATGTCCCCACTCAAGGATCTTGCGCACATTGAAGTTATTTGGGGCCTCAAGGCTTTCTATGATTCTTTGGACTGGGTTGCTCTAATCAATACGGCAGAAGACAAGAGTTTTCCTCCGCATACGCTGGCGCTCACTATGCAGCAGTGTTTCGCCCCCAGGGTGCTTAAAGAATCTGGACATTTCTCGCAGCCTATCTTGCCCCAACGGGCCATGGTCGCTGGGCTGCGCTCCGCGGTGGGTCTCTCACGTTGTATTATGTATCGTACGTTGGAACGCATGTGTGAAGCGCATCGCTCGGTCACAGTGAGATCTTGGGTGGACGACGTCAAGACACGCATTGTCGCCCCCAAGAAGTTTGCCGTTGCTCAGTTAACGAAGGTTGCCACCATCCTCCGTGATGACTGCAAGGAGTTAGACCTAGTTATCTCTCCCAAGTCGACGATTCTCAGCTCTTCGCCACTGGCAGGCATGGCTTTGGAGTCAAATTTGAAGCAGCTGGGGCTTACTGTACCTTTTAATGACCGAGTGATGGACCTGGGTTTTGATCGAGGCAACATCCGCATGGGGCAGACCAAGCGCAAGAAGCGAGTCGAGAAAGCGAAGTTCAGGTTTCATCGAATAGCTTGTATTGGAAGGAGTACCCTCGCCCACCGCCGCATTGGGCTTCGTCTTGCTACTACTGCCGCTCTCCCTCGCGTCTCATATGCAGGCAAGCTCTACGGTATTCCACCTTCGGTCCTCACAAGCTGGCGCAGAGCTCTTGGTCGCATTCTTCGCAAAGGTAGCACGCAGCGCTCGCTCACCACGCAGCTCCAGCTGGACATGGGCCCCACCGACCCCGCTATCTCCATGGCCATGGATGTCATCAACTCTTGGGCGCTCTTCCTGGCCACCTCAAGCGTCGAACGGAAGCTCATTGAGTTGACATGGGCTCGCGTCGTGAAAGATTTTTCAGCCCGACCGCAGCACACCTGGTCTCACCATGTCTGGGGCATTTGTTCTGCTACTGTCTGTCTCCTTTTGCGTTATTCCTGGGGGCCCCGAGGCCCTTGGAGATGGGTGAGCCCAGATGGCATTGAGTTTTTCGCCCCGCCTGAGAAGCACACGGTTCGGGACCTTGACTTTTCTGAATTGAAACACGTTTTCTCCTTGCCGATCCAGCGGTCACTTTGGACTGCGGCTGCTGAGGAGTATCTTGGACGGGGTCTCGGCCAGGGGATCCCTGACCTGGGACCCTTGAGGAAGTTCTTGAGGAGCCTCAAGCGGAAGGGAGAGTTCGTTCTCTTTGGGATCCACCAGGCCATCGTCACAGGAAATCTGTGGCCTGCGCAGCGTGTGTATGAGTGTTTTCCTGAGGCGGATCCTATTTGTCCCAGATGCAAAGAGGCTCCCGATACCCCACGGCACGCGCACTGGGAGTGTCCCCGTAATGCTTCTTTAGCGGGCGTGGCCCCGAGAGCGGTCATTGACCGCGCGATTCGCGACTGTGATGAATTACCCTGTTTCTGGCACCGCGGCATCGTGCCAGGCTCTTGGGTTGAAGTGGGCCCCCCCAGGGATGATCCTCCTCTCCTCGACCTCTCTCTCTCGACCTCGGAGGCGGAGTTTCGGAGTGGGGTGGTGTTCGGAGCTGGCGATGCCAGCGGGGGGGTCCACTCAGCCGATCCGCGTTTGCGCCGCATTGGGTGGTCAGCCCTTATTTTCCCTGACGGCGCCCACCTTGCACGTGAACCGATCACAGGGTCACAGTCTTGGGGAGGCCCTTTAGAGCTCAAACAGTCTGTCAATAGGGGAGAGCTCAGGGCTTTCACCACCTTCCTTCAAGCTACTCAGTCCCTCTCAGCCCGTGTACAGAGGCATTTCGTGCCGGGCAGTGCCCGCGTGATTGGAGGTTTTTCCGCCATCGCTCGAGGGAAGTTTCCCACGAGCAACGTTTCTGATTGGCTGCAGTTCCACGAGGTGTACAGAAATTCCTCGGGGCTCGACGTGCGGCTATTCAAGGTTGAATCGCACCTGTCGCAGGCCGAAGCCCTGGGGCAAGGTTTTCCTCTGGCCCATTTTTTTGCCAACCAGCGCGCGGATGAGCGGGCCGAGAGATTTGCCGAGGAGGCCCAGCTTCCGTATGCGCAGGTTGCCAGGATCCAGTTAGTTGACAAGGTCGCGGCGGTTTTCAGGAAACATTTGGCGACTGTTCTCCTTGATTGCGCCTCCATCCGCTCTCCTCCCCCGCCGCGGCCAAAGGTTGAACGTCCGAAGCTCTCAAAGCCCGAGCGGGGCGCTCTGAAGCTAAGTCGAGCCCTCAGTCGCACCGAGCACCCGATTCCGAATCTTCATAGGTCGTTTTGGCAATGCTCGGTGTGTGATGGACGTACGGCGCGTAAGTTTGCGTTAGAGTTTCTCAGCACCCAGTGCCAAGGAGGGTCGAGAGTCCTCGTGCCTACGGTGTTCTGTGGGCGGGAGATTCACCCGACCCACAAACTTCAGAATGGAGTTCAAGGGGCGTTTTGTTGTTCTTCTTGTGGCCTTTATTGGAGGTTTCGAGTCCGCTCTAATGGACTTGGGAAACCGTGCAGGCCCATTTCGAGGAGGGGTCGCAAAAAACTTGTCGCCTCTCCTCCTCGGTATGCTCCCTCAGCAACGGGCAAAGACTGCTCGTGCCGTTTTCGCCACCAAGAGGTCTTTCTAACCCTCCTGGGTGGCGGATTTGGGAGCTCGAGGGTCTCTCCGTTTGAGAGGCCCCTTGCTGCCGCCCATGGATTGGGTGGCTCCTTTCCGCGCGCCGTCGCTCCCGCCTCTGCGCTTTCGCGCTTCTCCAGGGGGAAAAAAAGCTCTTGGCCTGTCTGACGCCTTCGGCGGCCGTCTTGAGGGTCCCTATGGGCCGTCTTGGTGCCCTCCTGGAACGCCTTATTGTCGTTTTGGGTACCGATTGGGAGGCTCTTGGGCGATCATGGGGTCCTCTTGGGCCGACTTGGGGCCCTCGTTGGGGGCCTCGTGGGCTGTCTCTTGGGGCTATTAGGCCGCCCTGGGCGGTCAGAAGCCTAACCAGGCGAGAATTTCAAAAACGTTGAACAACAATCGGAACATCAATGTGTGTCGTTTCCTCGGGGGGGCTCTTGGCGGCCTCTTGGGGTTTCTTGGGCAGTCTTAGGAGGCCCTTTTGGTCAATCTGACCCCTTCGGAGGCCGTTTTTGGGGCATCTCTGGGCTGTCTCGGTAGCTTATTGGAGCGGTTTGGGGCCGTCTTGGGGCCCTTGAGGGCCTCGCGTGGCGCCTTGGAGCTAGGAGGGAAACCAAAATGGGTGAGAACTTGTAAATCATTGGACAACCATAGGACCATCGATGCTGCTTGCCTTCTCGGGCTCTCCTCGAGGACCGCTTGGAGCCCTCTTGGGTCGTCTTGGCAGCCTCTCGAGTTGCCTTGAGGCCGTGTGGGAGCCCCTATTGTTGTCTTGGGCCGTCTCGGTGGTATCTTGGCTGTCATGGACGCCGTGTTGGGCGCTTCTTGGGCCGATTGGAAGCCGAAAAGAGTGTTGGATAGCACATGTCGGCGGGGGGGGGGGGGTCATGCTTGCGAGGGGGGGGGGGGGGGGGCGGCCCCCCCTAGAAAACACGGCAACCACATTCCCAACCGCCACAGGGGCGTTCTAACACGCCCATTCCTTGCAGGCATGGCGGACATGGTCCAATCAATGTGGTGCAAGTTGTGGAGTGCAATCCGTGCAGCGCAACATCGGAAAACAAAGCTCCCGTGTAAGACCTGCTCGTTGAAGAGGGGGAGGTCTCCACAGCTGGGTCTGTTTAACCCCCCCTCTCGCCCCATTCAAAATGGTGGGGAAGCTTTTCGCCTTCCATCTGCGCTGTGACCCACTAGGGGGCTGTCTCTCGAAACGTCCGCTGATGATGCAATTCGAGTTCCCAACCCTCTTGTGTTGGGTTCTCCTTTTGAGAAGAGCACTGCCCGCTCCATCCTCCTTTCCCTCCTTTTCCCCTTTCTCCTTATCGTATCTGCGTCCTCCCGCCTCCCGCCTCCTTTTGAGAAGAGCACTGCGCGCTCCATCCTCCTTGTCATCCCTTTTCCCTCGTTTCCTTCTCGTGTCGCCTTTTTCCCGCCTCCCGCCTCCTTCGGCGGACCTGTCGGGACCTGGCGGCTCCCAGGGGGGTGCGAACCGTGCAATTGTTGCCACTTCCGTGGGCTTCTGGGAGGTCCAGCGGAGTGGAGGTCCACGCGGATCTGCCGAGATCTCGCGGGCTTTGCGGGGTTGCGAGCCGCGCAAGTGTCGCAGTTTTGGTTGGTTCCTGGGGGGGTCAGCAGAGTTGATGTCCACGCGGATCTGTCGAGACCTCGCGGGTCCCTGCGAGATGCGAACCGCGCAATTGTCGCAGTTTTCGTGGGCTCTTGAGAGGTCCAGCGGGGTGGAGGTCCACGCGGATCTGCAGAGACCTCGCGGGTCTTGCAGGGTTGCGAACAGAGCAATTGTCGCAGCTTTCGTGGGCTCTTGGGAGGTTCAGCGGGGTGGAGGTCCACGCGGACCTGCCGAGATTTCGCGGGCCTTGCGGGTTTGCGAGCCGCGCAATTGTCGCCATTTTCGTGGGCTCGTGGCAGGTCCAGCGGAGAGGAGGTCCCTGCCGAGACATCTCGGCTCCTTCTGGGGTTGCGAACCGTTCCGTTGTCGCAGCTTTCGTGGGCTCCTGGGAGGTTCAGCAGAGTGGAGGTCCACGCGGATCTGCCGAGACCTCGCAGCTCCCTGCGGGGTTGCGAACCGCGCAATTGTCGCCATTTTCGTGGGATCCTGGGAGGTCCAGCTCATGTGCACTGCGGCTTCGTCAACATGTTTGTTTGTATTGAGCGGTCCCAAATCTATTGGCCAAGTGTGTAGGAAGGGTTGGTTACGTCACTGGGTAATCTTACAATGTCTTCGTTATGACTCAAGGGCGTTGGAAATGACAGGAGATGCGGCGGATGGTGAGATTTGGCGGTGAGAGGGCACCAAGGGGAAACGCACATTTTCACTCACGCCTTCCCCCCTTTTTGCACCGGCAGAAGGAGGGGTTGAACCCCCCACCTTTGCTGGCGGAGGGGGGCGGGACGGGTCGCGCTGGACACTTTCAAGAAAACGAGGCTCCCGCGGGATGCTTCCTCAGAGTTCCCTCAACGCCGAGGCTCCCGCTCGAGACTTCCGCACGCCGAAGAGACTTCCTGAAGCAGCAGGTGTCGAGCTCTGGTCCCCAGCTTCCCCCTCACTGGCGGCGGAGAGGGCGGGACGGGGCGCGCTCTGGCGCATGGGAGGGGGAATCAGCGTGCTTAGGGGATTTGGGTTCGCATCTTAGGGATTGGGGGTTCGTGCTCAGGGGCTTTGGGTTCGCATGTTAGGCATTCAGGGCTTTGGGTTCGCATGCTAGGGCTCAGGGGTTGGGGTGTGTGCTTCGGTCTGGGGGGATTCGTCTTGCGATGTCGAGTGACAGAGTCTCTTGCGTTAGGGCTTCGTGTTATGGTTAGTGCTTATTGTTCGTCTAGCTTTTTAGATTTAGGGTTGTGAAGTTTAGGGTTAGGGTGTTCGGGTTCGGCTTACTGAGTAGGGCGGAGGTTCGGGTCCAAGGGTTAGGGTGTTAGGTTTATTGCTTAGAGTTACGACTTGGGTTTGGGGACTTTGGGTTAGAGGGTTTGGGTTCGGGTGTGACGGGCTGAAGGGATAGGGTTTGGGTGTTAGAGTAAGGTTATTGTTTCGAGTTTCAGGGTTGGGATGTTGGGGCCTCGTCGTCGTCGTGTTCATCATCGCCGTCGCCGTCGCCGTCGCCGTCGCCGTCGCCGTCGCCGTCGCCGTCGCCGTCGCCGTCGCCGTCGCCGTCGCCGTCGCCGTCGTCGTCGTCGTCGTCGTCGTCGTCGTCGTCGTCGTCGTCGTCAGCGTCGTCGTCTTCGTCGTCTTCGTCGTTGTCGTCGTCGTCGTCGTCGTCGTCGTCGTCGTCAGTCATGCATTGTGGCCGTCGTCGGCGACTGCGTGCGCGCGGGCTCGCGAGCGGGCGGGCAGGCGTGCGGCCGAGCGGGCGGGCGCGCAGGCGAGCGGGCGAGCGGGCGGTCCAGAGCGGCTGGGCGCGCGGCCCGAGCGGTTATGCGGCTGGGCGCGCGGGCGGGCGCGCGGGTGAGCGGGCGGGCGAGAAGGGCCGTGTGCGCGGGCGGGCGATTGGGCGGGCGGGGGCGCGAGCGGGCGGGCGGGCGGACGGGCGGGCGAGTGGGCGAGCGGGCTAGCTGGCTGGAAGGCGTGCGGGCGAGCGGCGGGCGGGCGACCGGGCGGGCGGGCGAGCGGGCGGGCGCGCGGCCCGAGGGTGCAGACGAGCGGGCGACAGGGCGGGCGACAGGGGTCCCGGAACAGGGAGGATAGGACCGTATGGGCTGCCACAACTGTCAAGGGAGGAAGAACCACCCCGACCCCTATGAGTTTACTGAACGGACCTGGGCGTTTGCTAAACAGCCCTGCCCTGTTCGATTGCTTCCTAGGGTGCTTTTGCTGAACAGTTCTGTTTGTCGGGGTGCTTCTCATCAGGATGGCTTTTCTGCTCTCTAAGCTACTTTCGATTGGCACCGCTGGCCTAAAGCACAGGACCAGGTGGTTGGAGCACTCTCCCCTACAGGGGCTTCCCGGCCCCGGCAGGCCGCAGGTGCACAAGAGGGAGGCGGCGGCGCCGATGCTTTTCCCAAGGCGATTTTTTGTTGCCTTTCTCTCGTGGAAGAGTGTGGGGGGATCTCTCTCCTCGAAGACAAGGGCTGCGGTGTAGAATGGGGATTCCATAGATAGATGCATATACATATCATACATATAGATATATACATAAACATGTGTGTGTGTGTTTCTCTCCTCTCTCTCTCTCTATTTCTCTCTCTCCCTCTCTTTCTCTTCCTCTCTCTCTCTCTCTTTCTCTCTCCCTCTCTCATCGTACGGCCAAGGCTACCAAGCCCACGCCAGGTCTTACTCGAATGACCATTTACCAGCTCGGACGGGACGAGGTAAAATGCATCCAAAACGTGGTGCAACTCACTCGGCTCAGCTGACAACGTAGTCTGGATCCGTGCCGCGATCTGTGAGGCTGATACCATTGTGGTCACACTCACGCTCGAGGAGCTGTTCGTAGCACAGTTTTCAGGCGCTGCACCCATCAACGGAGACCGCTTCCCAGGCGGACCAGGCACGGCGCAACAAAAGACGAAGGAACGCCATAAGACTGTCAAAAAAGACGCCTCCCGCAAACAGTTTGACAACGACTTCACGGACGCTTTCACTGCCGTGTTGTCGTCAAGCTTCCGCATTGCCCAATTACGTGAAGCCATGAAGCAGGGCGTCACAGCGCAGCGGTTGGAAAGCATGGGCTCACGGCCGCTGTCGGCATCAAGCCAGCCGATGATGCCCCCCTGGCCCTCTCTACCTTTGGGCAAGGAGGCATCCAGTTCGACATCAGCTACCACTGGCCCCAAAGGGCCCCTGCCCAGTGACTACATCATTGTGTGGTACCCAGACGGCGGACAAACGAGTGAGCATCATAGTCAAGCCTGACACCCAGGAAGCGAAGCAAGTTGCCTTCGAACTACGGTGAATGACGCCGCGCTTGCTAACATTGCGTGCTGGATCACGGGGACAATTGACGAGGTCCTCTCATCTATCAAGTGGCAATGTGAAGTCCAAAACACAGGTTGGAACAAAATGACCAGGGGCGACTTCGCCATAAGTCATATCGGCCAGTCCTCCTCCTCCGAGCACAACGGTTCACGTCCAAGGTTCACCATTTCTTGGACCACCGTCAAGATTGAGGAGTTCAGCCTGGCCAAAACCGACTCCCCGAAAGGGCCCACGGCCACAATCGTCTCACCAGGAACCATCGCGACGGAGAAGCTGGTTGTGGGACCACCCATTGGGTGAAAAGATGCACGCTCATCCTCATCCCTTCAGGACCTTGCAGCCACCAGACCGTACTTCCAAGCGCTGCTCAAGCCACAGCCGAAACTTGAAGCGATACCTGCCCTGAACACCCCGCCGCTGGGGAGAAAGCCGCGCAGCGCCATTAGCGAAGTGTCGCGTCAACGAGCTAGCAGCACCAAGAAGGAGGCCAACGTCACACCTAATGGGTTTCGACATCACATCGAAATCGCTTGTTCGAGGAAGTCCCACGCGAAAATCACATTTTCGACTTTTCGGGCTACCAGCGTCTAATGGTTGAGGTGCCAGACGGGCTGCCCGAGTTGACACGACGATTCCGCTTGAGACTGTCTCGAAGAAACCATTTCGGGCTCGAAATCGAAGTCGCGATTCCGCCCAAGACGTCTTCCGGAACAGAAGTCGGAATCCGTTCGGGCCAACGTCGTCACGGCGATTCCGCCGATGACTCCTCCCCCGAGCTCAATTCGACCCTTCTCGGACTTGAAGTCGATATGTGTCGCGTTGCTGCTCGCAGGCTCTGGTGCTCAACGGCGCGATGGTCCTCCCCACCATTGGACGCTTCGCTCGGCATTTTATTGGTAGAGGCACGAAATGGTTCAACGCTTTCGTAGCGGCGATGTATGTGCACCTGCCTTTCGCCTTCAAGGAATGGAGAGCGGGGGTCCAGACCGCCCTAGACCTCCAACGTTAGATGCTGATATTTTGGCTGGAAGGGAACAGCTTCTTCAATGGCTGTTCAAACCTACAGTTTGGATGTGTTGTGCCCGTGGGGCGGAGGGGTGGGGAGGCGTGAGGGATGAGCTGAAGGGAGGGGGAAGGTGCCAGCAGTTCCAGTGGCCCATGTTCGGCGTCACCCTAGCATACTTATACTATATGCGAGTCGCCCCCCGGGGGCGACGCGCGCACCGAGAAATCTTATTGTATATGCGTCGTGGTGGGCGCTTTCTGGCCACACCGCTCGGGAAACGATATACTACAAGATGGGTATACTATATATTCGGGTCGGACGCGCGCCTCCAAGGAGGGCATATAGTACTAGTATGTCTTTGTAGGTCTTTGTGCCTCCCATGAGTAATCACGAAACGAAAGCAGAGTCGGGACCAGTGCGAGCTCGGGGCAGCAGAGCAAGTACTCGTCTGATAGTCTGGAGGTTGAAATTTTGACCGTGGAGGCGCAAGGACTTCTGGGCTTATGAACTTCGAACACGTTGGGAGTTCCTCCGAGTGGCCATGGAGCAGTTGTGTGATGGGTCAGGTGATTGGCGGATTTATCCTAGGGAACATTCCAGGGGGACCAGGCCTTCATCGTGCTCCTCCTCCCTCCTCCCCTCCACTCCTGCTCCTCCTTCCTACGCTCGTCTGCTGGACAGTTTCAGCAATGCTGAGGATAATAAGATTAGAGATTTCTTCGGTCGGCCATGGATTGGTGCTGGCATGGGTCGGAACCTCGTGGTCAAGGCCGCCAGAGGCTCCAGGGATAGCCCGCGGAGTGTAAGACAAGTCCATTCATCCTCTCACCGTCCACCTTTATTCAATATGCATACTACTCTCCTCTCCCTTGAGCCTGTCCAGAAGATATCCGGCTCTCTCCACGTACAGATTTCCACACATAGGAGTGGACAAACGTGGATTTCCCCTATGTTCTTATCCAGTCCTAGTGTTCTCGGCTTCAACATGGTGTTCCCGCTGCAGCGTGGCTTTCATTTTCGGATCGGCGCGTTGCTCCCGTCGTTCGAATTGCGCTCCCGCCCCAGCGCGGGCCACGTTTCTGGATCCGATTCTTTTTTCCACGTTGTCGCCCCCCTCATTTCCCGTCACCTCTTCCGCCTTCGCTTGGTCCTCCTCCTCCTCCTCCTCCTCCTCCTCCTCTTCCTCATCTCGCTCCTTCCACTCCAGTTCTTGATGCTGCTGTTCGTCCTGGTTTTGAGTTGCCCAGACGTGAAGCGCAAGCTTGTCGCGGTCTGGTGCGAAAGGAAAAGTATGTAAAACCGACTCGGCGAAGTGGTAGAGCAACATCACTTGGCGGGCGCCGCGGAAAAGGGAAAGTCAAGAAGGGCGGCGCAGCGGACTGCATGGAGTAGGCGCCCGCCAGGTGGTATAGCACGGTCGGCCTTTCTCCTTCCCCTCCTCGACCCTCCACATCTCCACCTCCGTAGCCCGATGATTCTATGGTACAGGCTTGCCATGGTTGAGAGCAGAGTGCAACCGAAAGGGTTGCCAGCAGGAAGGTACGCACATGTGACAGTGATGCAACCACGACGCGCAAATAGGGTGTGTATTGGTGCTGGTACAGGCTGTGATGACTGGCCCAAGTGAGTAAAAGGGCAGACCAGTATTCAACTGTACAATTAAAAAAAGAGTAAGGACGGCGGACCTGCAAGGTGTGAAAGGTAGTGTGGCTGGCACAGACTGCTGGCTGGCCCAAGTGAGTAAAAACTAATAGAATAGCAATTCTTGGGCTGCTACCTGTGTTCTTGCCGGTTCCTCGGGGGGGGCTTTTCACCGTTTCAGTTTTTGGGAGGGGTTTCCCCGGTCAGTGTGGCCACCATATTGTAACTTGTGTATTTCCCCTAAGGTCGGCCTGCCGGACTGTAGGTATGCAGGAACAAAGTGGCATAAGAGTTACCAAGGGTAAGTGACGAGGCTAAGAGGCGTGACGGGTCGAAATTGAAGCGAAGCAAAAGAGGGGTATGTTGCAAGCTGTGCCAGTGGAGATGTTGCTGTAGTACAGAAGTCTGAAGCTGTGCATGTCGTAAGGCTGGCCAAATAAAACGGCTGGCCTGCGGGCGCAACGGTGGGCCCGCCCTTCCCAAGGGGTCAGGGGGCCCGTAATGTAAGTAAGGTGCTTCTCCACCACTCACCACTCTAACCAGCTCCACCACCCCACCCCCACGTCCCGAGTCTGAGGCTGGCATAGGGCTGAAACTCCTCCTCCTCCTCCTCCTCATTCCCCATCCTCCTTTTCCTCCTGCTTATCCTCCTGCTCACCCGCCACCTTCGTCTATCTACGCAGCTTTCCTTTTCCGACTGCGCATGACACGACTGGGTCTTGCTTGGAGTTCCAGGTCGGCTATGGTGCTATGACACTCGTCTGCAGACAGAGACAAAAGCAGCGCACTGGAAAAGGATGGGAGGGAGCGACAGGATGTCAGATACAGCGCGAGCGCGCCTAGCTTGCCCCCTTCCCCCTCTGTCCTCCCCCTCCCTCCCCAGGAATCTCGGGGGTGAGTGGCACCCCGGGCCAGGCCCAGCGGGGAACGTCCAAGCAGGCGCAGGAGGAAGACGACGATGGCGTGGGCAAGGACGATGCTCCTCGTCGTCATCGTCCTGCGCCTCGTCCGCCGCCGCCGCCGCCGTTGTCGAAGACGAGGGCGACGAGGAGTGCGAGGAAAACTTGACCCCCGGGGGGGCTCCGGCCAGGGCGCGGCCCCGAGCTTCCTCAGCAAGGCCCAGTCTCCGGCGCCGCTCGAGCCGAAGTCGGCCCCGTGGCCGAAGCCCCCTCCGAAGGTCGGAGGGGGACCAGGACGATCAGAGGAGGGAGGAGGATCAACAGAGTTCCAAGAGGCTCCTTCCATCGCCTGTGCTTCGTCGTCCTCCTCCTCCTCCTCCTCCCGCTCCTCCTCCTCCTCCTCCTCCTCCTCCTCCTCCTCCTCCTCCTCCTCCTCCTCCTCCTCCTCCCCCTCCTCCCCTCCCCCTCCCCCTCCCCCTCCTCCTCCTCCTCCTCCTCCTCCTCCTCCTCCTCCTCCGCGCGCTCGCCCCATCGGACAGTCTCGATCCCTACACGCTAGGGGGACTATTGGGGCTCACGAGCTCCCTCGGGGCCATTCCTTGAGGCCTGGGGGGAGCTGCTCCTTGGTGAGCTTCAAAATGGCCTTGTGCCCCCCACCCTGACTATTACGGGGTGGGGTGCACTGCTCTTTGAATTTCCTGGAGGCCCGAACCTTCCAGCACCCACACCTCCGACACCAGAGGACCCCACGGCACACGGCGAGGTGGGGTCGGTGGCTAGGATGGATGGATGGGGCGGGCCTCCAGCGGCGGGGAGGGCGGCTCTGGCGGGCTCCTGCGCTCCCGCCGCGGGCCTGGCGGCGGGGCACGGGAGCTTGAGCCAGCGAGCGCAGCACCTCCTGTGGGTCTGCTTGCCACACCTGGCACAAGAAACTTGGTCGTCGCGGACCTGGGGCCAGTGGGCGGTCACCTCTAGAAGGTGCTGGAAAGCGTTGTCACTCCGCTCCTTGCGCTGAGCCCTCTTAGTCTCAGCGGAAGCCTCTTCCACTGGGTAGTGGGTCCACCACATCATCTGGACAGCCGCCAATCGCCCTCGGACCTGTTCTGCGAGTGTGTCCAAGGCCAGCACTCGGTCGACCAGGTCCTGGGGCACGGCGGCAGAGGCGGCAGCCTGTCCAGCGAATTCGTCGGCCTGTTCATTCACATACAGGGCCCAGGCGGGAAAACGGGCGCGGACCTCAGGGTCCGTGGCATGGCTCTTTACTTTAAGAAACTGAACCTGGCCCGTGCGAGCCCCTAGGACCCTCCAAAGTTCGGCCCAGAGCCTACGATTGGAACGAGCTCGCCTGCGGGGACCCCTGTGGTACCCACGGATGAGGTAGGCCGAGTCGGTGACCACTATAAGGTCCCCCTGGGTATGCTTGAGGAGCTCGGTGGCCCCTTTGAGCTCCGCCCGATTGATGGTCTGGAGCCCTATGACATTCCCTTGGAGAGTGCCAAGGAGGTTTAAATCTTCATCCCAGACCCCTGCACCCCATCCTACACGCCTCAGGCGGGGATCGGAAGAGAAAGCACCCCCCGAGCCATCCACCGAACCGAGGCGCCAACCGCCCCTCGGCTCGGGAGGGTCCAGGAAGGCGCCAGTCCCAACTAGGACGGGGTGCTGAGGTGTAGTGTCCTCTACAGCCTTCAGAGCGAGACATGCTGGAATGAGCCCTCGGAGCCACAGACAGGCTGGCTGGTCGTCCCCTTGAGCGGTGTCCACTAGGTCCTCTGTTGCCTGGATGAGGGGATGGTCGGCCTGGAATAGGAGCGGGCACCCCCAGAACTTGTGATAATCATCGCAGTGATGGTCTCCGCACAACGGGCACACCGAGTCGTCTGCTAAGCCTGCCTCGAAGCGTCGCCTGGGGCTCCAGGCTGAACAAGCACAAACTGCCTTGAGCGCCTTCGCGAGGTTCTTCTGTCCGTCGCGATACATCCGCTCGATCTGCCACCGCGAGCTCTTGATATCGATTCCATCCTGTACCCCTCCTGCTGCGTGTCCCCCTTGGGCCCCACTCCAGACTCGATGGTGGAGGAACTGCTGGAATCTGCACATGAAATAGTCTTGCTCCTGGAGATTCCCAGGTCGGACTCGTAAGACCTGGCCGGATGGGCTTGTCCAAGCCCAGGCTGAGTTGGGCTGCCACCCCAGGTCGAGGAGGGTGGCCACAACTGCGCTGAGATGGCTGACAACATTGTTCCACCGCCTGGGCCGCTGGAGCTTGGTGACCACCTTGGGCCAGGCGAGCTCGATCCCATTCCTGAGGTGCGGCTGGCTCTCCACCAGCTCGAACCACATCTCAAAAAGATTGACGCGATGGAAGATGGCGGGGTCCAGGGCCTCTGGCGGCAACTTCGACTGGTGGAGCCCTGCGGTGAGACAGCTTCCTGGTTTACTGGTCCCCAGGGCCGCCCCTGCTGCTCTCCTGTGCTGGCTGAGCTCTGTCGGGGAGACCCCGTGACCCTCGAGTCCCCAATGGAGCTGTGGCTGAGCCCCTGCACGATATAGACGATGAGCACTCTTGGTCACCCTCAGGAGCCTCTTAATGTTCTTGTGCCTCTTGAACCCCAGACGCTGCCGAGCCCTGCGAACCTTTAAGTACCTGCGCTTGCCTACCGTGGAGTCCAACCCGAGGTCCCTGGTGCCCAGCTTGGTCTGCAGGGGGATCCCGTGGAGCTTGCAGGAGTCCTGGACCTGGTTCCTGATGCCATTGTCATTCGACAGGAGTGCCGACTTCGGAGATAACCTGCACCCAAGATCTACGAGCCCTGCTTTGATAAACTTCATAGCCTCGGGGAAGGACTGGAGCAGGGATGCGGCCGAGCCGACCATGCGGGCCCGCAGGTCGTCCACCCAGGTCCTGAGGGTGAGACGGCTGAACCTGAGATGCGCCTGATGGAGGAGGTCGTGCAAAAGAACTCGCGTCCAAGCCACGCTTTGGCCGCATCCTGCTAAGATACTGCGCTGGGGAATGATCGGGTGGCTGACCCCCATCTCCGTGGTGAGATATCGAACGGCTAGGTGGGTCATGATCCCCAAACTTAGACAGATACTTGGGTACCCCATTTCTTTGGCCTTCGCCGCTAACACGTGGGTGAGGATGGTGTCATAGAATTTCTCTAGGTCCAAGAGCCCTTCGACTACCTTGATCTGAAGTTCCGTCCCCACTTCCGCAAAAAGTTCTGAAACGATGCCTGCGCGCAGACAGCTGGATCCTTTGATTGCTGCGTCCCAGTGTCCTGCCTTGGCCGCCTCCCACTTGCCGATCTCCCCCCTCCTCATCCTCATGAGCAGCCTGTAGAGGGAGGTTGTGAGCGTGATCGGCCTATCCGCCGTCACGGTCTTCGGCTTGAGTGCTACGAGGTTCCCTAAGCACTGGGCGTGCATCGACTGCTTCTCTTCGATGGTGTTTAGCATGCTCGTGAGCTCAGCGAGCCCTGGGCCTGGGAGTCGAGCAAAGTCTCGTACGCGCCACTGGTCCATGCCTGTGGCTGAGTGTCCTGGGAAAGATCTGATGGCCTTCAGAACCTCCTCCTCCGTCCAGGGGGCCACCAGGGCCTCCTCCTCCTCCTCCTCCTCCTCCTCCTCCTCCTCCTCCTCCTCCTCCTCCTCCTTCCTCTCCTCCTCCTCCCCCTCCTCCTCCCCCTCCCCGATGCTCCAGTCCTTCTTCTCTGTGCCTCGTCTTTCTCTCCGCGCTTGGCCAGGGGCGGCCACCGCGCCGGATTGCCAGCCACATCCAGTCCACATGCAAGGAGGTACAGTGGGGGCCCATGCCAAGAAGCAGCCTGCTTGCCTTCAGGGTGCCCTGGGTTTCTTGGGTTTCGATGGTTTTGCCACCGAAAGCGCAACGCTCCCACACCAAAAATCCAGGGACGTGTTGGGGTCTCGGGGTTGGGTTTCTTGTGGAAGGCTTCTTGTAGTCGGGCCCCACTGCACACTTCCCTCGTTTTCCCCCTTTGGGGCCTCCTGGGAGGCCCTCCTCGCCACTGCTGGATTCGCCTCGAAATTCTGGTCAGAACGTAATCGGCACCTTTAGGTTTCCCCAGATGAGGGGAGGAGGATGAGGACCAGTGTAAATCCAAGACGCATCAACGGTTTTCAATCGGATTTGGTTCGGTTCCTTGTCTTTGAGGAAGAGGGTGGGGAGGAGGGAGAGAAGGGTGAGAAGAGGTGCGGAGGATGACTGAGGAGAAGGAGGAGGAAAATGATAATGAGAAGGAAAAGAGGAGAAGGAGGTGAAGGATGATGATGATGATGATGATGATGAGGAGGAGGAGGAGGAGGAGGAGGAGGAGGAGGAGGAGGATGAGGACCAGTGTAAACCGAAGGCGCATCAACGATGTTGTAGTAAACCCTCCCTCCAAGTTCTCTCTTCACATATCCACAGGATGTGGTTTTTGTTCTTTCTCTGACCGCGCCGACTCCGTCAGGTCACCTCTTCCCCTCCTGGTTCTCTTCCCCATCGCACTCAGAGTATGATGATGCACTCAGAGTATGATGATTCCGAGTGATGGCGACAAGGATATGATGACGGCGATGATGATGTTGCTGCTGATGATCATGATGGCGGAGCAAATTCTGAGGATGTCTCGAGCGAGGCGAGGGTTTCAGCACCCCCAAGGGGGAGCCGCCACGGGGTATCTCACTCCTCCGTTCGCGCCAACATTGCGGGGATTTCTCGAGCGGTTTGCTTGTTTGCATGCCCAAGATCCTCCGCTTTCGGAGCAGATGCTGAGGATGTCTCAAGCGAGGCGCTCGTTTTCACCCCCAAGCGGGGACAGAATTTGAGGATGTCTAGATCGGTTTGCTTGTTTTGGTGGCCAGACTCGTGGGCACGGATCCTCCCCAGGATGCCACAGGAGGCTCCAGCAGGCTCCAGGAGGCCCCATGAGGCAACAAGAGGTCCCAGGAGGCACCAGGAGGCCACAGGAAGACTCGAGAGGCCACAGGATGCCCCAAGAGGCTCCAGGAGGTCTCAGGAAGCTCCAGAAGGCCTCAGGAGGCTCAAGGATGCTCCAGGAGGCCACTGGAGGCCACATGAGGCCCCAGGAGGCCACAGGAAGCGCCAGGAGGCACTAGGAGGCCCCGGAAGGCACCAGGAGGCCCCAAGAGGCCCCAGGAGCAGGAGGCCTCAAAAGGCCACAGGAGTGGCTCCAATCCCATGTGTTGCACGTATGCTCCTCTTGATTGGGCCTCCGCTGGAGCACGTATCTTTTAGTGTTTGACGTATGTTTCTATATATTGACATACATATCATTGCGCATCCAATCCAGGCAATGTGTTTTACGTATGTTCTTTTATATATATATATATATATATATATATGTTGGGCCTCTCCTTGGGCACGAGTCTTTGGTGTTTTACGTGTGCTCTTTTATATTGCCCTTCTCCTGTGGCTCCAACCCGCAGTATTTTATGTACGTCTGTTCCTATAGATTGGGCCTCTCCTGGGGCACGGATCCTCCCCAGGATGCCCCAGGAGGCTCCAGGAGGCCCCAGGAGGCCACACGAGGCCCTAGGAGGCTCCAGGAAGCCCCAGGAGGTTTCAGGAGGCCCCAGAGGCCCCAGGCTCATGCGCAGAGACGCGCTCGTACTACTGAGACTCATTCACACTCCAACTCGTTCACAGTTAGATTCACTCCCAGACCGTCAATACTCACGCCCGTGAATATTCGATAGTTCTTGCGCCTAGACTCAGGGCGGACAGGTCCACGCTAATAGATGTACATGGGGAGCTCCACGCTGTGAATAGTTCTGACCTCGGGAAGTGCCCCGTTGGAAGACAACCGTCTGGAAATCCTGGATCGTGCCAGAGCCTCGTTTCCAGGACTTCAACACCGCGAATCAACATCCTGAATCGCGCCAAGACACCTGTCTTGGTAGTTCTACGCAGCGAATGAACATGACGGTTGCGGCCTGACAATCCCAAATCGCTCAGGGGGAACACCGTTCTTGAGACGTCAGTCATAAGAACCTTCGCATGTGTTGTACGATTTGACACTGAATGTGCGCGGGGTTAAGCGAGAACCGCATTTTGAAAAGGAATTGACATCTATCCGCGACACTCTTACAAATGTTTAAGACGAGCGCGCGCGGCGCTGAGGCGAGAACCACATTTCGAAAAGGACTCGCCCTCCATCCGTGCTACGACTGCAAACGTTCAAGACGAATGTGCGTTGCGCTGAAGCGAGAGCCACATTTTGAAAAGAACCGCCCTCACGGCGCTAATGCGAGAACCGCATTTTGAAAACAACCGGCCATGCATCCGTGAAACTGTTGCATACTTGAAGAGTCCGGATCATGAATTGTGAGGATGTTCAGGCGAAACGCTCAGCCCGCCCTACCGACACGCTTCGGGGTGCGACAGAGAGGAGTCATCGATCAGGAACAGGGATGGAGGAGGATGAGGACGTTGAGGAGAGGAAGCAGGAATGGAGGGAAAAGGGATGGAGGAAGGGTTGGAAGCTCAGCGACCCTGCCGTGAATTACAGTGGCGGCATCTGGATGTGCAAGAGCCGCGTCTGTGACCTTGGCTTTGACCTGTGCCGGCGGTGCGCCTCGTGGTGTCTGCCGATCCCGTCACAGTGACTGGCTCGTGGATAGTGTCTCCTGTGTCCTGGGAAGAGATTTCTGGACGGCCTGTGGGAGGACTTCTTGGGGCATCTCGGGAGCTTCTGTGGGGTCCTCTTTGGGGGGCCTCCTGAGAGCCTTTTGGGAGCCCGCTTGCGGCCTCGGCGGGGGCCTCGGGGTCCTGTGGCAGAAGCACTACTGGCAACAGCCAGGTTCCCGTCGGCGGAAGACACGTTCGCCCGTGGGCCTTCGACGTGTTCGGGCATTCCCGATGAAGTGAGTAGGAGTACCCATCGGTCGTTGAACGTAGGTATTTCTGGATTCCCATATTCCAATGTACTTCAAGTGCCTTCCTACTTAAACGAAGGAGTGGATTCACCTTTTCCATTCTCCCCCAAGGGGGCGGACGGAACCCCATCTACTTTCAACGCCTTCCTATTTCATGTTTCTACCTACTTCTTCCGACCGATGGGTATATTTGATCGCCATTCGCCTAGCTTCGAGTCAACATGGCGGACAACTGTTGCCATCAGACATGGGCGCGATATTTTTGAGGTGCTCGCGAGGTGACTTCGAGTTTCCTGATAGGAAGAACTGGATATCGCTGGAACGGGGTGTCAGCATCGCAAGCAGCCCAATCATCTTGATCATACATTTCTGAGAGGAGATCGCATGCGGGGCGACCAATTGTCGCACCTGCGCGCGCACGCAGACCCGGACCCGCGGCAGGGCCATCCACAAGAGTACGTAGGTCGATACTTTACCACGACCAAGTCGTTACCGTCCATGCTGGCTGTTCATGTCCAGCTGATACAGTGAACCCGAATATGCAGGATGAGCAGCTTTCCCAGGTTACCCTTGCATCCTTCCCCTTCGGCCCATCCTTGGCCGCTATCGCTGACCGCGCCCCGCTCGCAAAGTATCGACACGGCCTTCAAGGCCCTTGCATCCTTATCGTGCGTCCTCATCATACGGGTTGATTGTGAGAAGAGGAGTGCCGCGAGCGTCCATCCGGTCGGTAGAGGGAAGCAATTTATGGACACTCCTTTTTCCCCCAAACTCAAAGTTGGCACGCGCGGAGGAGACTGCGGTGGAAGTGCAGCTAATCAGACACCGCCAACTTTGAACATCGGGAGGAGGAGGCGTTGACCGATGAATGCGGCACGAGTGTGCGCTATTTTTGTTCTGAGGCCTGTCCCAGGCAATCGCAAACATAGCTCAAGGGGGCGTGGATTAGCGACGGGTCCCGCTTCCATGGGAAATCGCGGATTTCAGCCGCCGAACGAGGGCACTTCCCCCGATCCATGGATTTGGCGACCGCGCGCCAAATCCATGGATCGCTACTCCGTGCTTGCGCTCCCCCGAGACTGCGGCACGAGCGTTCGCTATTTCTACTCCGAGGCCTCTCCCCCGCCTCTCGATGGATTCTGCGGGGCGCGCTCCCGGGCGGGGGAGGTCCTCAGGACCCCCGCAGGGACCTCGGGCCGTCCCTCGCGCGCCGGGGCCGTCCTGCCCTCTCCACCTCCGCCCCTCCGTCCTCCCTGCCTCCCTGCATTCTCCGCCCTCCCTCCCCCCCTCCCCCCCCTGGAGCGACGGGTTCGGGATGGGTTCTGTGGGGGTTACTGCGCTGAGCTCGACTACTTGGTGCCCGTGCAGATGACATGTATGAGCCTTCTGTTAGCTGCTGCGGCTGCTGAGCCGGCTCAACGCGCGCGCAATCCAATCCCCCTCCCCCCCTTCTCGCGTGCAGCCGTTCTCCTCCCTCTGGGTCCCCCCTCTTGTCCCTCCCTCTAGATGCCGCCCCCTCGCCCCTTAATCTCCCCTTCGCATCCTCGCCGCCACCCCCCTCCACCCTCTGCGGATCCACGCCTGCAGGGGGAGGAGGCTGAGCAGGAAGAGGAGGTTGAGAAGGAAAGACGAGGGACAGGAAGACGAGGAAGGCGAGGGGACTTGGTGGAGAGGGGGGAGCCTCCGTCTCCTCCCCCCCTCTGGGCTCGACCCGCTCCCACAACCTCCCCTCTCCCGCAACGGAGGCCTGGCGAGGATCGCCACAGTCTTGTGGGTCGCCCTGAGTACTGCGGGTCCTGTTATGCGTGCGCGCGGTGCGACAATTTTTCGCCCCGCTGGAGGCGTGGACGTGATAAGGGGGCATGAATTTCCCGCGGGAATGAATGTGGGCCATCTGGGGTTTGTACCCTCAAAGAGCTTGTCCCAAAACGACTGGGATGGCGGGAACATCGCGACGAATCACGTGGGTCTCGGAGTCCACTAAAATCGGACGTATCCGAAAGCACACGTACGCACATAACAGACATTGGCCCCGGACAATCGTTGATGACATGATGTGCGATTCTTGGGACATCGGTTCGCAATTGGGAGAAAAGGAGGTCGTTTACGAAGCGTCCAAACCGCGCGAAACTCCAGGTGAACATGGCGATGCGCCCAAGCGCCATCGGGGCACACCCGCATCGCACGTCGGCGAACGCATGCGACTCCGTGTCTTGTACTGGGATATATTTCACCTCGGCTTACGTCCTTTACGTCCTCGGTGAACAAAAATAACAAAACAATATCAGCATATCATACTTTTTGTGTGGCAAGGGATTCCCAGAAGGAGTCTAAAGTGATTCGAGCATGTGGCGGCTATTTTGTTGCACGTCCTATGCGACGGCCTGCGGCTGTAATCGACTGGCCGGCCGCAAGGATGTGGGTCGAGCCAGTTCGTCTGGCCAGCCTGACTCGTTCGTTGTCGCGGGCCTCCCATGCAGCCACCAGCTCTGGGCTCTGCCATGGCAGGGTCGCCATGACGTGGGTGCGGCAGGCCAGGCGGCGGCTATCGGTGCGCCAGTCCACCACACATCGGACCTCCCCTCGCACCCCCCCGAGGCCCGGCGAGGGGGCGGGGAGGGCGGGGAGGGCGGCGCGGCAGGCCGCGCCAGAGCCTCCCCCGCAGCCGCCCGCGCCGGCGCCGCCCCGGCCCCCGGCGGCGGCCGCCCCGCTGTTGGTCCCCAAGGCCTCGTCGGATTCGTCACCAAGCGCGTTCCACTACTCGCAGAGTGCCTGCTCGCAAACGTCCGAAAACCCCACGCTCGCCTCGATGTAATGTAAAATTGATCCCCCGCGGCGGATCCAGGTCATTTGCGAGTAGTGACTTTGCGAGTAGTGGAACGCGCTTGTATAATTCGGCTTCAGTCGGGCATGTCCCTCTATAGGAGGAATATGCGTAAGGGCTTTGCCCCCATGCCGCCGGCCCCCCCCCTTCTTAGGATGGGACTTGCCAGGGCTGTGTTGGGATGTCTGGACGCTGACGTGAAGCAGTGTCGGGACTTCTCTCGGGGACGTGAATGTTGTGTATTTCTTTCGAGGGTTTGTGGCCTCGGTGGTAATTTACAAAGGGTTGTGGTCTCGGGGGCGCAAATATTGCGTACTTTGCGATGGTTTATGGCTTCGGGGACGTGAATACTATTTAATTTGCATGGGTGTGTGGCCTCAGGGACGCAAGTACGGTGCAATTTAGAAGGGTTTATGGCCCTTGGGACGCGAATACTGCGTGATTTACAAAGGTTTATGGCTTCGGGGGCGCGAATATCAGGTAATTTACATGGGTTTATGGTCTCGGAGGCGGGAACATTGTACAATTTACGAGGGTTCATGGCCTCGGGGATGCAAATATTATTTAATTCTCTTGCACAGGGTGTCTAGAGCTCCGACCACTTTATTTCGGCGTCGTCGTCGCTCCCCCCCAGCTGCCTTGTGCCCTTCATGTGTCGCTATATGTGTCGCTGTGTGCCTTGTGCCCTTCATGTGCCGCTATATGTGTCGCTGTGTGTCGCTATGCGTCTCCATGTGTGCGTCGCTATGTGTCGCTGTGTGTCGCTATGCGTCGATATGTGTGTGTGTCGATATATGTCTCTATATGTCGATATGTGTCGACATGTGTCGCTATGTGTCGCTCCCCAGCACCCCAGCGCACCGCCCCCTCCGCCCCGACGACTTTATTTCGGCGTCGTCGTCGCCCCCCCCCTCTCCCTCTCCTCAGCAGCCCAGCGCGCTGCCCCCTCCGCCCCGACCACTTTATTTCGGCGTCGTCGTCGCCCCCCCCGGTCCTTTTCCCCGGCAGCCCAGCGCACCGCCCTCTCCGCCCCAACCACTTTATTTCGGCGTCGTCGTCGCCCTATTTCGGCGTTGTGTCGACATGTGTCGCTTTCCTCAGCAGCCCAGCGCACCGCCCTCTCCGCCCCGACCACTTTATTTCGACGTCGTCGTCGCCCTATTTCGGCGTTGTGTCGACATGTGTCGCTACGTGTCGCTCCCCAGCACCCCAGCGCACCGCCCCCTCCGCCCCGACGACTTTATTCCGGCGTCGTCGTCGCTCCCCCCCCACCCCCTCTCCCTCTCCTCAGCAGCCCAGCGCGCTGCCCCCTCCGCCCCGACCACTTTATTTCGGCGTCGTCGTCGCCCCCCCCTGTCCTTTTCCCCAGCAGCCCAGCGCGCCGCCCTCTCCGCCCCGACCGGCGTCGTCGTCGCCCCCCCCCCCACCAGCAGCCCACCACTTTATTTCGGCGTCGTCGTCGCCCCCCCCCCCCCTCCCCAGCAGCCCAGCCCAGCGCACCGCCCCCTCCGCCCCGACCACTTTATTATCTTGCACAGGGTGTCTAGAGCTCCGACCATTTTATTTCGCGTCGCTCCCCCCCCCCCCGCGTCCTCAGCGCCAGAGTGGGGCCCCCGCGCCGTGGCTCTCTGCCCCAAGCCCCCCCGCGTCCCCAGCGCCCCAGCGGGGGCCCCGCCCACTGCCCCCTCCGCCACGAACGCTTTATCCCGCGTCGCACCTCCCCCCCCCCCCCCCCCCCGCGTCCCCAGCGCCAGTGTGGGACCCCCGCGCCGTGGCTCTCTGCCCCAAGCCCCACCGCGTCCCCAGCGCCCCAGCGGGGCCCCCGCCCACTGCCCCCTCCGACACGAACGCTGCATTACGCGTCGCACCCCCCCCCTCCGCGTCCCCAGCGCCAGAGTGGGACCCCCGCGCCGTGGTTCTCTGCCCCGAGCCCCCCCGCGTCCCCAGCGCCCCAGCGGGGGCCCCGCCCACTGCCCCTTCCGCCACTAACGCTTCATCCCGCGTCGCGCCGCACACCACCTCCCCCACCTCCCTCCCCGCGTCCCCAGCGCCCCAGTGGGGACTCCGCCCCGTGCCCCCTCCGCCCCGACAATTTTATTCCGCGTCGCGACGCACGCCACCTCCCCCCTTCCCCCCCTTTCCCCAGCGCCCCAGTTGGACCCCCGCCCCGTGGCCCTCTGCCCCAAGCCCCGCCCAGTGCCCCCTCCGCCCCGACAGTTTATTCCGCGTCGCGGCACACACCACCACCCCTCCTCTCCGCGCCCCCAGCGCCCCAGTGGGACCTCCGCCCCGTGCTCCCTCCGCTCCGAGCACTTTATTCCGCGTCGCGACGCACGCCGCCTCCCCCACCCTCCCCACCTGGGACTTGGGCCCCGTTGCTGGGCCCAGAGGGCGATGCCTTGCCCCCTTCCCCCCTCCTCCTCCACCACAACCACCACCTCCTCCTCCTCCTCCTCCTCCTCCTCCTCCTCCCCCTTCCTTTTTGTGCATTGGCAATGGCACACGTGCCACTTGTTTGCATGGGTGTGTGGCCTCAGGGACGCAAGTACGGTATAATTTACAAAAGTTTATGGCTCCTGGGGCGCGAATATCAAGTAATTTACATGGGTTGATGGTCCGGGAGGCGCGAACATTGTGCAATGTACGATGGTTTTATGGCCTCGGGGACTCGAATATTGTGCAATTATGGTTTCGGGGACGCGAATATCAAATATTTTGACGTGTCCCACGCCCCCCCAGGATAGCAGACAACGCGACCTGAGCGTGGTAAAAAAGCTGGTTTGGGGCTCCCCCACCTCGCGCGCTCAGCAACAATTAACAGTAAGGAAGCAAAAAGCAGGATTGTACCAGCGGAAACTGGAAACTGCAAGTGAACAGGGAGCTGCAATCCTCATCCTCGCAGCCTGTGGCCCCGCAAGCGGGACGGCGGATTCAAAAATAGTCAAAAGATAATCAGGGGACGATTTTCCGAGTATTTGTTTCACAATGTTTGAATATTTTTGACAATTTTTCATTTCGTCCAAAATCCCTCTGCAGGGGGACATGCCCGACCTGAGATTCGGGCGAGTGGATCCTTTGCAAAAGGGGGTCTCGCAAAGATGCGCAATACAGGCCTCGGGACAAAAATAGTGAACACTCATGACTCGGTCAACGCCTCCCCCTCCCCCAATGTGCAAAGTTGGCGGCGGGTCGGATGAGTTGCACTTCGACCGCAGCATCCTCTGCGCGTGCCAACTTTGAGTTTGGGGGAAACGGGGAGTGTCCACAAGTTGCTTCCTTTTACCGTAGGTCGTGCAGTCTCGAGTGAGGAAAAATCGCCCAGACCCCGACAATTGGCGTGGCCCTGGGCGTTTACTTAGCAGCCTTGTCCTGCCCTGTTCGATGCCTTGGGTGCGTTTAGTGCACGGCTTCGTTCGTCGGGGTGCTTACTATAGGGTTGGATTTTCTGCCCTCTACAGTCGTTCATGCGGGCTACGCACATCGTGCAATATCAGCACGTGGCTGCCACGCGCCTTGCGCCACAGGATGAACTGTTGCTCTTGTTCTTGCGCTTCCTTTACGACAGAGCCCCTTTGCCCAGAACCAGCCTTCGACTTCGGGGCTGGCCCCCGTGGCCCTCTGCCCCAAGCCCCGCCCAGTGCCCCCTCCGCCCCGACAGTTTATTCCGCGTCGCGGCACACACCACCTCCCCTCCTCTCCGCGCCCCCAGCGCCCCAGTGGGACCTCCGCCCCGTGTTCCCTCCGCTCCGAGCACTTTATTCCGCGTCGCGACGCACGCCGCCTCCCCCACCCTCCCCACCTGGGACTTGGGCCCCGTTGCTGGGCCCAGAGGGCGATGCCTTGCCCCCTTCCCCCCTCCTCCTCCACCACAACCACCACCTCCTCCTCCTCCTCCTCCTCCTCCTCCTCCTCCCTCCTTCCTTTTTGTGCATTGGCAATGGCACACGTGCCACTTGTTTGCATGGGTGTGTGGCCTCAGGGACGCAAGTACGGTATAATTTACAAAAGTTTATGGCTCCTGGGGCGCGAATATCAAGTAATTTACATGGGTTGATGGTCCGGGAGGCGCGAACATTGTGCAATGTACGATGGTTTTATGGCCTCGGGGACTCGAATATTGTGCAATTATGGTTTCGGGGACGCGAATATCAAATATTTTGACGTGTCCCACGCCCCCCCAGGATAGCAGACAACGCGACCTGAGCGTGGTAAAAAAGCTGGTTTGGGGCTCCCCCACCTCGCGCGCTCAGCAACAATTAACAGTAAGGAAGCAAAAAGCAGGATTGTACCAGCGGAAACTGGAAACTGCAAGTGAACAGGGAGCTGCAATCCTCATCCTCGCAGCCTGTGGCCCCGCAAGCGGGACGGCGGATTCAAAAATAGTCAAAAGATAATCAGGGGACGATTTTCCGAGTATTTGTTTCACAATGTTTGAATATTTTTGACAATTTTTCATTTCGTCCAAAATCCCTCTGCAGGGGGACATGCCCGACCTGAGATTCGGGCGAGTGGATCCTTTGCAAAAGGGGGTCTCGCAAAGATGCGCAACACAGGCCTCGGGACAAAAATAGTGAAC